TTCTTCACAGATGGGCACAAGGCTATTGGAGGGTTCACTTGGGTCTTCAGCTCTGGGACGTCACAGTTCCAGTGACCTCGGTGCCTGTGTCTGTTTGCCACAGTTCTCGAGCTCATAAATCCATTCATTTACAAGAAGGGCTCAAAGTCTTTCAATTTTTTTCCAGTATTTTTTGTGGTTATATTGAAATTTACCCCCACGTTTCCTGGGTCACACTTCTTTTACCTCAATGACCATTTGTGTGAAACACATTCTAGCCAGGAAGGATATGCTGCTAGGCTTAAAAGAAGGAGTGACCAGAAAGCTATTCCCGCAAACAGGCAGCTTCATCTGAGGGCTGAAGGTGAACCGTGGGGTGAGCACTCTGCCCCTTCTCAGACTGGACAGCTCCAGAGGAAGGCTAGCGCTGCTGGCTGGGCCGCCTGGCGTACTGCGAGAACGAGGGTGAAGTACATGTCTTCATAAATTGTCCTCTGCTTCTGCTTCCCATCTGAGCTACGCCAGCCAGCTCTGTTAAAGCTTGGATTGGAAAAACTTTTTATTTTTTATTTTTAAAGAGATCTATCTTTTCAAATTTTGCTTATATAGCATTCAGCTAAGGCAATGTATATTTATTTCTTCAAGTAACGTTATTGCTTGAAGTCTACCTCTTTGCCTTTGACAGTAAGACAGACCGCTTATCTTCATATTTTCATAATGAAAACTCCCCAAGCTCGGGCTGCTGTGGCAGATTTACTGCTCTGGAGCAGGAGAACTGACAGGCGTTCTAATACGGAAGGAGATACGATGTCCTTAATGTACAGTGATGTCACTGCTAACGAGGGAGAAGCAGCCAGAGCACTCGCAGTCAGCACCACGGCTGTCCTGGCTGGGGTGGAAGAGACCTTGTCACCCCCAGAAAGGACACAGGCAATGAGGAAGAGGAAACCAAGCCTCAGGCGCAAAGGCACCAGCTTACAGTGGACGTGCCTTAGCTTCAGGAAGTTAACTAAAACTGTCCCTGACAGAGCTGACCTTGAGAAGGGACAGGGAAAGGCGTGGTACTCTGAGTGTAATTAAAACCCTCCTGGGAGTGCACAAAGGAAAGCTCGGCCTTCTGACCTTCATCTCTGTCCCCTTTATCCTGCCCCAGAGTGGTCTCAGAACTTAAAGAGGAGGACAGCTACACTGTCCTTAGCAGGATGCCCCTATTGTTAGGGAATGCCACACTCTCCTGTCTTTTATTTGCAAATGAGGCCTTAAAGGCTTAACTTTGCATGGAGAAAGTGCTGGTTCCAGTTGTGAAAAGAAATTCTTAGAGGTTGCTTTTCCAATGTCCTTGTCCTAAGCTCCCACTCAAAGGGGCCACAAACGTGTGACTAGGGAAGAAACGCTGTAATGAGGACAATCTAAGAAGGCTGCACTCTGCAGGCCTCCTGCGTGGGTGTGGCTGCAAAGGGTCTTTCAAAGGTTTCAAGAGCGTATTCCACTCTGAGAGAATGGGGCTGTATGTTGGTGGCAGGGAAAACAGAACACTCAAGATCCGTGTCGGTTTTCGCCATTCCCATCAACTTCCCCAGGAAGTATGAGGGTTAATTTAAGACCTGAGAGGGCTTTTGCCAGCTCTGAGGATAGCCAAGCTCTTAAAATTTGCCAGCTCCATTAAATGTACTTCTCCTTAATTAAACGTAGACACATTCAGCAATCTACATGCTCAAAATTAAGTATCAAAGATTTATCATATGAAGGAGCCAAACAGCAAAGGCAGAGGTCAGAACTGACCAATATCACAAAGGACTATATTTTTTATTATGTTATTATCTAATGAATTTTAATGCACTGAGACAATGGTTGTGAGCTGGGCAGGCTTTTCTGGGCTGCCGTCTACTCTGCCACTCGCGAGTTACAGGGTACAGGAAAGTTAGCTATTTCTTTAGGGCTCAGTTTCACTGCTTGTGAAAAGGGAGGGTCATCTTACTTCTTTCATGGTAATGAATGAATGAAACCAACAAATAGCAAACCATTCACTGATGTGGGATTCCCCTCTGTATGCTGTGAATATCATTGGTTAAAAGAAACTGTCTTGGCCTGTGATAGGGCAAAAGAATAGAGGTAGGTGGGGAAAACTAAACTGAATGCTGGGAGAAAGGAGGCAGAGTCAGAAAGAAGCCATGAAGCCGCTGGAGACAGATGCACTGAAACTATGCTGTTAGGCTACGGCTCATGGTGATACGCAGATTAATGGAGATGGGTTAAATTAAGATGTCAGAGCTAGCCAATAAGAAGCTAGAGCTATTGGGTCAAACAATGATTTAAATAATACAGTTTCTGTGTGTTTATTTCGGGTCTGAGCAGCTGGCAACAAACAAGCGGCCTCCTTGCAACAATTCACTATTTTGTTCAAAGCATAATTAAGTGAAAAATTAATGTTAGCAATGTAATATGTAAATTGTTATTATTAAAAATTGATATTCATTTTTGTCACATTTGTTACATGTAAAATTGCACCATTTGCAATTAGTGTACAGATAATAGCAAAAATTATTTTTACTCAGCAAACTAGAAGAAACAGTTAATTTAGGCTTATGGCTCCAGCATGGTGGTGGAGTCCAGCATGGTGGTGGAGTCCAGCATGGTGGTGGAGTCCAGCATGGTGGTGGAGTCCAGCATGGTGGGAAAACATGGCAGCAAGCTGCAGACATGGCAGTCAGAGCAGAAGCTGAGAGTTTACACCTTCAAACACAAACACAAAGTAAAAAGAGATTTAACTGTGATGTACTTCCTGTAGTAAGCCTGCACCTCCTAACCCTAACCTAACAACTGAAGACCAAGTGTTCAAATACCAGAGCTCCTGGCGCAGACATTTATCATTCAAAGCACCACACACTCCACTGGTGAACATGAATCCATACCACATAAACACACTTGGACACACATATGTGCCCGCACATGCACAATGATCAAACAAACAAAAGCTGTAGCATTAGGGTCATGTCCTTTCTTGTCTGATGCATTTGACTTGTGTGGCTATGAAAGTGTGGGTATTCAGTCTTGATGCTGTTCACTGCCTCTCTTGTCAGCCTTTCCCTCCCCGTGAGACTCCAACTCAGTGACTCTCAGTCTTGATAGACATAAGAACACCAGAGGTGCTTACAATAACTTCACAAGTTCTGGTGTGGTGACAGGGTCCAGGCATCTGTAGACTCAACAGATGACTCTGATGGAGGTGGAATGCAGACTTAATCACATCCTGGATCCCTAATGTTAACTGCTGGGAAGCCTCTGCTCTTCTCTGTTTTATGTGAAGACTTGGATTATCTTCCCTTTAGGAGGTATATTCAGGTTCACAATGATCCAAATTAAGGCTGAGTCAGAAGAGGTAGATTCTTTTCTTTTTTTCTTAGAGCTTTGTTTTGTTTTTAAATTTTATTTATTTATTTCATATATCTGGGTGTATGTCTGTAACATGCCTGGCCAGAAGAGGGTGTTGGATACCCTGGAACTAGGCTTTGAGCTGCCATGCAGGTGCTGGGAGTTGAACCCAGGTCTCAGTGATCTTTGTCGCTGAGCCACCTCTCCAGACCTAGTGGGTTTTGTTTGTTTTTTATACATAGTGTGTGATGGGTGAGTGCCATGGTGTGTGTTGGAGGTCAGAGGACAACTTTAGGGAGTTGTTCTCCCCGTCCATCGTTTGGATCCTGGACGTCAGACCCAGGTTTGCTGGCTTGGCAGGAAGTTCTCCCCTGCAGGTCCAGCTCACTGGCCCACGGTGGAGTCCTCCAGTCCTCTCTTGCCGAGATTCTCAGAAGGAAAGAAAAGATGAAGGGTAACTTCAGTGAGACCATTTGAACAAAAAATTAGAATGTTGGCACAGTCTTTGTGATTGTCCAGATGGAAGAGCCTTTGCCTTGTCTTTGGGTTGTGGGTGGGCCTAGGTTGTAGGAAAAACGCTTCAGGGTCTGTGGATGAAAGCCAACAGCAGTCTTTGAGCACAGGTGCTCACCTGTCCTGTGGCTGTGACAAAACACCTGGCAAAGGCAATTTCAGGAAGAAAGGGTACATTTCAGCTTCCAGTTCAAAGGTGAAGTAAGTCCCTGAGGGCAGGGAGGGCAAGGTCACAGGCTTGACACGGCTGCCACTGTTGTCACTGTGCGTCTGCAGTCAGGAAGCAGAACGATGGTGGAATTTCTTCCGTTCACTTCTTCGGGAGCCACAGCCCATGGAAGCTGTCCACCTGGCTGAGGAGCCTTCCCACCTCAGTGAGTCTGACCCAGATGACCCTCACAGGTGTGCCCAGAGGCTTGTTTCTCAGGTGTTGCTGGATCCTGTCCAGTTGTCAAAATCAACTATTAAAAACCATATTGGTAGGGAAGTCATAAGGTGCTTCTGTGGCCCCCGGCTTGGGCTATGGCCCACTCAGGTAAACACTGGAAGACTTTGTGACCCACATGTGAAACCAGTTCTTGGCTTTCAGTTTGTCTGTTCTTATCACTTGTATATGGTCACATATGTACAGAAGAAATGGACAAGATTGCAGGACATGATAGGCAGTCTTATTAGTAAAACACTGGATCAAAACTTTCACTAAAAGCTTTAATTTATAAATATGAATTTAAAAAATTTACCTCCCAGTTTCTGCTAATGTGTAAGACTTGTAAAAGATATTAATTCCGCTGTCTTAGTTAGGGTTTCTGTTGCTATGAAGAGATGTCACGACTATAGCAACTCTTATAAAGTAAAACATTTACCTGGGGCTTGCTTACCGTTTCAGAGGTTTAGTCTGTTATTGTCACTGCAGGAAGCTCTGTGGCACGCGAGTGGACATGGTGCTGGAGAAGGAGCAGAGGGTTCCACATCCTGATCTGAAGGCAGGAGAGAGAGAGAGAGAGAGAGAGAGAGAGAGAGAGAGAGAGAGAGAGAGAGAGAGAGAGACTGGGCCTGGCTTGAGTATTTTAAACCCCAAAGCCCAATCCCAGTGACACACTTCATCCAACATGGCTACACTTACGAATCCCTTTCAGGTAGTGGCACTCCCTAATGACCCAGCACTCAAATATATGAGCCTGTGGAAGCCAGCCCTGTTCAAACCACTGTGTCATACAAGGAAATAGAAAGGAAGCTACACGTCTTGAAAAGTAGACGCTCTTCTTAAACCTAACAGAAGACTGAGATCATCGGATGAACTGCTGACATCAGAGCTGGGGTGGGGAAGGCGACGTCAGAAAGCAGAAATGTTCTGTCAGGTCTTCATGTGGGCTCGTGTGATTCATATGCAGTTCATTTGGCAATGACAAAGATTTCAGAACATGTAACAAACAAAGCTTAATTTGAAATCAAACATGTAATTAATCCCAAGTATTTCTGTTTCACCAGATAACATCACTTCAGTCTTGTTTCTGAACGCAAATATGTGCACTTAGCGTGGCACGTGTCTCGTCATGAAAGCCAGCGACTACAGACTGTGATGCCCAGGCGGTGGGAACAGGTTTTACTGTTCACACACAGTTTTATGCTCCCGTAGAAACAGTGGTTTAATTACAGAACTATTTCCCAACCATCGTATTTCAGAATGAAAGTGTCTAGTCTGGTTATCGGGGGACTGTATTTTATCAGAATGTTTGACTATAAGAATTGTTGTTTGAGTCATTGTATTGAATTTCATAAAAAATCAATGCATTGTAGTTTGAGATTGGAACAGAATTTCTAGAAATTTCTGCAATTGCCCTAAAATATTCCTGCTGCCTTTTTTATTGCATATTTATATGAAGTACCATTCTCAGCATCGATGATTATTAAATAAGTATTCATTAACCCCACAAAACATTGAAGATGCTCTAATCCTTCAGGATTGAATATTCAGCTGAGGTCTGACTCTTTATGTAAAACAAACAAGCACATCTCATTAATATGCAAATTTGCTTTAAACTTCAATGAATGGTGAAATGATATTAATTATATGTGTACTAAATAATTGTTTTGTAATAAATTTCTTAGGATTTCTTGTCAGTAAATGTTTGATTTCCTCACCTATCTGATATTCTTGTATATATACTGGGTCACATAAATATTTCTCAGGCAAAAGGGGTTAAAGAAGAACCTTAAGCCGTGTATAGAGACTGGAGAGGTAGTTCAGAGGTTACGAGCATGTGCTGTTCTAGCAGGGGACCCACATTCACTTCCCAGTGCACAGGTCGGGCAACTCACAACCACCTGTAATTCCAGCTCCAGGGCATCAGGTGCCCTTTCCTGGCCTCTGCGGGCACCTGCACTTACATTCCCGTACCCACACACTGACACATATGTACATATAATTGAAAAATAAAATAAACTTTTTTAAATAAAGAAGTCTTGTACTAGAACAGAAGACCAGGAACACACACGGCCACAGGAGCCAATGACAGGTCCAAGAGATCTAAGCTGCGACTGACGAACTCCTGGGGATTCCGTATGGACAGTTGGAGAGTTAAAATACCAGCATTTTTCATGAGGGAAATGCAAATCGAGAGTACATGGAAAGTCCGTCTCAGCCGTCAAAATGGGCATCATCAAGGAAATAAGCAACAACAAGGCTGGGGAGGATGCCAAGCGCAGTGGGGGTCAGGGAGGAGACCAAGAGAAGGGAGTGAAAGACAGTAAAGGGCAGAATATGGTTGAAGTATGTTATATGCATGGGTGAGATTATCATAAAGGCACATATCGTTTCATATAATTAACCCGGGCTTGTAATGGAAATCTCAGTGCCAACCTGGAAGAGGTGGGGCAGTCTTAAGGGACATCCATATTCTCACAAATTCTTCCTCCTGGAGATATATAAAGTTCTCACAGAGAAATCCCATTTTGCTTCTGACGTAGGAGGAGGAACGCATTTATCTTGCAGTCTCCCAGAGCACTGCTCTCCTTAGTAAGGCCTGTCCTTAAGGAAGGTCATCTAGGAACCCTGTCAAATGACTCCTGCCAGATCTCAGCTGACTTGTAAAAAGACAAACACCAAAAACTTAGTCCCTTCTCGCCTTCCTGCTTCAGCTAAGAGGGAAGAAAAACTTGATAAGTGTTTGTAAAAGTCACAGTCCAGGGGCATGTTCTCTCTCACACAGTGAGGTGTATCTCAAGGCTAGAGTGCTTTTCTCCACATCTTACCAGTTCCTCAGCAAATCCCCTCTGAATACTGAGGAACTTCACCTGGACTGCTTTTATCAGGCCTAAATTATGGAACTGTCAACTAAGCGGAGAAACACTAGGAAGGGCTCCTGGGATATTTTGGCCCCTGATGTCTCCACCCACGACAAGTTATCTAACACAAATAAAGAGAAAACCTTACACTGCTTCCTGGAGCCCTTTACTTAGCCCTTGTGGTCAGCACATCATAGTCTACATTCAACTGAAAACAACAGGGCACATTCAAAGTGATCAATTTGAAGAGAGATCTTCAGCCCAGATAGGGGTGACAGAGATTTTGGGATGATGATTCTCAGACATGTCAATCAACTATGATTGTGTTTCGGGTCCTCAAGAGATAAGTGAGCAACCGGCATAACAGGTGGATAATGCAAGCAGAAGATAGAAGTTAGAAAAATAAGTCAAAGGAAAATCTTACAATCAAAACCACCAAACAAAAGCACTGAGTGTTTTGAGAGGCTTTGCAAAGGACTAGACATAGTTGAAGAAACAATCTGTTATCTGGAGGATATGCCAATGGAAATTCCCCAAAGGAAACACCAAAAGAAAAAAACCAGAAACTGTACAAGATATTTAAGAACTGTGGGTGAAGTGGCAAAATTGTCAGTCGCCTTATGAAGTCAGAATCAATCATACTGACTCTTCTGCTTTGTTTGATTAGACTTTTCTGTCTTTGATTTGTTTTGTCATATTTGTTTAGCCCTTTTGTCTTTCAAAGATTTGTGTGCTCTTGCTTCGGTCAGATGTGCTGCTGATGCTCTTGTAGAGGACAGAGAGCCCACAAAGGGCTCTGTTTAGGAGCAGACTGAACTGTCGGAGGCCTGGGGAGCCAGACTCTGTGAACCCAGCCACAGTCCACTGTGCTCCATGACCACGAGTTAAGAGAAAACCAATAGCCTAGCAAAGGAAGGGGACACTGAGATTTGGGTGACTTATAGGCATAAGCTGGGTAGGTTTTGCTTGCTTTTTGTTTTATTCTTTTACATTCATGTGAGTCTTGGTCTGCAAATACCATTGCCATAAATAATCCTTTTTTTCAACTTGATAAACTCGTCATTAAGAAATACTTTGGATCTTTTATTGTACTGAAATCACAAATAAATATCATTTGGCCAACTTAAGGTCGCCACTCTAACACTTGTCCAGGCCCAAATTCTAAGAGTCTCAGTGAACTATATGGTTGGAATGGCCATTCTGAAGCCATGGAGAGTCTCATGGGTTTTAAGCTTTCGCTACTGATTATATTTTGTGGCCTTATCTACCACAAGAGAAAGAAAGATATAGAAGAGTAATGACATTATTGTTCTTTTAATATGATATGATGGCCCGAGCGGCCTGCGAGCCAGGCAGAAGCTGCCGCCAGAGCAGTACAGGGTCCCCGGGCGAGCGGCAGAGTCAGGCAGCTGGATACGGTGGACGGCAGAGTAAATGGACATAAGGCTATACATAAAGCTAGACATTTATTACTTAAAGAAAGAAAAAACATAGACAAACAGAGAAAACAAAGACACACATACATACATACACACCACACACACACACACATGCCCGCGCTCACCAGAGAGAGAGAGAGAGAGAGAGAGAGAGAGAGAGAGAGAGAGAGAGAAGATGGCTGCAGGGTAGGTCCAAAAGTGGCTGGGGTGGGCGTGGTTAGTTCTTAAAGTGGCAGCAGAAGACTAACAGCATGTCCGGGTGATATGATTCATGACAGAGATGGACAATCACACAGCATTGAGGAAAGACCACAGACATGTCCTCACTACACGTGTTAGGCTCTCCGAGCTGCCAGAGCAGAAATACTACAGACTGAGTGGATTAAAAGACAGCAATTTATTTCTGAGTCTAGGTGTTATAAAGTCCAAGGCATCAGAAGATTCAGCTGAGAATGCTGCTCCTGGTTTGCAGATGGAGGCCTTCCTTCTGCAGATTCCCCCACAGAGGACAGAAAGATATCGCCTTCACGTTCCCTCTTTTAAGGTTATATCACATTCACGAGGTTTCCACCTTCATGACCTAATTCCTTCCCAAGGCCCTAGCTTTTGATGTGGCCACACTGATAATTTAGGCTTCAACACATCAGTCAGGACAGGAACACAAAGAAGCAATCCATTGCGCCACCTGTAGCAGGGGTAAGTCCACCGTGAGTCCTGAGTGTTCCTGAGCATCATCGCTGCATGCAGTGCATGTCCCTGCCCTCTGCTCACTGAGTGGCATCTTTTTGCTCTGTCGGCCCTAAGAAGACTGAAATGAGATTGCTCATCCTCCCAAACAAAAAACCACTTAGAACCAAAGCTGCAAATTTCCCAGATTCAGAGTTCCTTGCTAGCACGTAAACCACCAAGTGAGTAGGAATATTCTTGGCCTGTCTGTGTCATTTCTTTTCCCTCTGTGGGACTTGGGAGGTGTGCTGGAGAGTTTTATGTCAACTTGACGCAAGCTAAAGTCATCTGAGAGGAGGGAACCTCAGTTAAGAACGTGTCTCCATAATCTCCAACTGCAGGCAAACCTGTAGGGCACTTTCTTTATTAGTGATTGATGGGAGATGGCCTAGCCCATTGTGGGTGGGGCCATCCCTGGGCTGGTGGTCCTGGGATCTATAAGAAAGCAGGCTGAGCAAGGCATGAAGAGCAAGCCAGTAAGCAACTTCCCTCCATGGCCTCTGCATCAGCTCCTGCCTCCAGGTTTCTGCCCTGTGTGAGTTCCTGCCCTTACTTTTTTCAGTGGTGAACAGTGATGGAAGCCTAAGCCGAATGGACCCTTTATTTTGGTCATGGTCATTGCAGCAATAGTCACTCTGACAAAGACAGGAGGTGTGGGCCACTCCAAGTGAGCATAGAGCTGTCACTACCGCTCATTTGACAGTGATAAAACCTTTGTGTTCAACTCAGGAAGCTCACGTCCTCCACCACCATGCGTGAAACCAGAACAGAGTAAGCTGCTAGCTTGCACATGAGGCAGAACTTGGGGCCCAACATAATTTCTGGCAGCCATACCAAGGCAAGAGGCTTCTTTTCTTCTCTGATAACAGCCATTGAGAAGAAAAGCGTTGCTAGGTCACCAGCTCTCTCCCACGTGTTAGAGGCGTGTTAGCTGCAGTGATGTACATCCAACTCAGGAACTCTGCTAGCAAGACACCTTGAGTAAAATCACGATAAGCAGTTCATTGTCATCCTCTGTGATCCTTCAGAGTTTCAAAGAAGCTGGGGTTAGACCAGAAGAAACTTTTCAACTGTGATGATGGTGCCAATCCTCATGATTCTTCGAGGCTTTGTAGCACTCTTGCAATTACTGAGAGCTAGGGCAGTTTCAGGTTCATACAAGGCCAGTGGCTCTCAGTCAAGATGGATTTTGCCCTCGCAAGTGACATGGCAGTGTCTAGAATCAAGCTTTGTGTTATAACCTGAAGGTGTTGCTGTCATTGGTGGGTGAAGGTCAGGGGTCTATTAAACATCGTATAACACTCAGGCAAGCCCACAGCAAATCACACCTTTTAGAGGGCAGCTGTGATGAGTCTGAAAACTTTGCCCTTCTTACAGTAGTGATGCTGATCCCACAGGGTAGGCAATCCAGTCAAGGGTGCTGCCAGAAGCAGAATATTACTGTCTCCATCATAATCAGGAATCAGGGAAGTCATTGAGAGTGGGTACCCCAAGTCCCTGAACCTGCCAGTAAACACTTGTCTCCATAGTCTGTCTTTGGGTGCCAGGACTGTGGCGGTGTTTCTCGTCTCCTGCTGTCTGTGTCTTCTTGTGTGTGTACTATGGCGGTGTTTCTATGTCTTGCTGTCCATATCTTCTCGTGTGTGCACTGTGGTGGTGTTTCCATGTCTCCTGCTGTCTGTGTCTTCTCG